GCATGATGTTTCCACCCCCATGCTTCACAGTAGGTATGGTGTTCTTTGGATGCAACTCAGCATTCTTTGTCCTCCAAACACGACGAGTTGAGTTTTTACCAAAAAGTTATATTTTGGTTTCATCTGACCATATGACATTCTCCCAATCCTCTTCTGGATCATCCAAATGCACTCTAGCAAACTTCAGATGGGCCTGGACATGTACTGGTTTAAGCAGGGGGACACGTCTGGCACTGCAGGATTTGAGTCCCTGGCGGCGTAGTGTGTTACTGATGGTAGGCTTTGTTACTTTGGTCCCAGCTCTCTGCAGGTCATTCACTAGGTCCCCCCCGTGTGGTTCTGGGATTTTTGCTCACCGTTCTTGTGATCATTTTGACCCCACGGGGTGAGATCTTGCGTGGAGCCCCAGATCGAGGGAGATTATCAGTGGTCTTGTATGTCTTCCATTTCCTAATAATTGCTCCCACAGTTGATTTCTTCAAACCAAGCTGCTTACCTATTGCAGATTCAGTCTTCCCAGCCTAGTGCAGGTCTACAATTTTGTTTCTGGTGTCCTTTGACAGCTCTTTGGTCTTGGCCATAGTGGAGTTTGGAGTGTGACTGTTTGAGGTTGTGGACAGGTGTCTTTTATACTGATAACAAGTTCAAACAGGTGCCATTAATACAGGTAACGAGTGGAGGACAGAGGAGAGCCAGAAATCTGTGAGAGCCAGAAATCTTGCTTGTTTGTAGGTGACCAAATACTTATTTTCCACCATAATTTGCAAATAAATTCATAAAAAATCCTACAATGTGATTTTCTGGATTGTTTTGCCTCATTTTGTCTGTCATAGTTGACGTGTACCTATGATGAAAATTACAGGCCTCTCTCATCTTTTTAAGTGGGAGAACTTGCACAATTGGTGGCTGACTAAATACTTTTTTCCCCCACTGTAATTTGCTTCTCCTGCAGTCAGTTGACCTAGTGGCCTCATGGGTGGAATGCTAACTTTTTTTCTAATTTCATAATTAATACACATTATTTCAAAAAACCTGTTGAAGATCCAGTGTTTCAATGTCATATGGTTTTGTTATATTTCAGTCTTATGTGATGTATATAAAGTGTAATACTGGGATGCACACTCATTATTTAATACATTTAAACTCTATCTGACATGGTACACGTGTCTTCTTGTTTTTAAGCTCATAACCATGTGTATACATTTGTTTCAAAGCAAATTTGTTTAAGACTACCAAGAAACACTGATTTATCCCACTGCAGTAAAAGGTTAATAGGAGATTGCATGCCTGGTAGTCATGTCCTGCCTCCTGGCTCTATGGTTACTGTTGTGATCATTAATAAGCTCAATGTGTAATGCCGGGATATGAACAAAGCCAGTGATATCCAGTGTATTCTCATTACAGGGGGATTATCAAATGTGCCAGCACGCTCCGCAATCCCACATCATTAACTATTTGGACCATTTACAGTCAGTTATTCCATCACTAATGCTCCCCCCCACGTGATTATATTTGACATGTTATGACATTTAAATGTGGATTTATGCATCTTGGCATGTTTGCAATGGATTAGGGCTATACCTTGTCTTGTAATCATTATTTGCCATCTAGGACATCTATTTTAGTCTGTATTAACAATGCATCAATAACAATATATTTCCACCAATGTCTAGCACACATGTAAAAATGTGGTTTGTCTAACTGTATGGTATTTATACTGATCTGAGGAGTTTATCACCATATAATGATCTGTTAATATTCCCAAATGGGTGATAATACCATTACCATCTTTGTCTCAGCAGAGGAGGATGTGCTGTTACCTGGGAAACAGCAGGGGAGGATGTGCTGTTACCTGGTTAACAGCAGGGGAGGATGTGCTGTTACCTAGTTAACAGCAGGGGAGGATGTGCTGTTACCTGGTTAACAGCAGGGGAGGATGTGATGTTACCTAGTTAACAGCAGGGGAGGATGTGCTGTTACCTGGGAAAGAGCAGGGGAGGGTGTGCTGTTATCTGCAGGTTGCTCCTTTATCCTACAGTGCAGCTCAGAGCTTCATCTTCCCATTCCCAGGCATTGTGATTCTTTTTTGTAGAACAAAACGTACCAGAGTCAACAACCTGGTATATTTAGCTTATCTTTTTACCTTCAAACTGGCTTCTATAATACCTTCGGAAGATTTAATATAGTTGACTCATTTAAAATGTGTGTAGTTTTTTTTTTTTTCAGGATAGAAAGTATACTGTCTAACAGAATACAGTACTACAAATATTGCATTATTTGTGTAGTACAGGCCTGGCTACACTACATTCGCATTGTTGAATACATTATTGATGACTGACCTTTAGAAGCAAGACAATACACACAGTGAATAGATATCAGGTAGGTCCCAGCGGAAAGTCAGATGTTTTAGTATTTTCCATGCAGTTCTAATGCTATTTTGATTGATCACACATGACTGTTATACAGTTGCTGCTGAGATAACTAACTGTCTGTCACAGGGTGAGCGCAGGTTTTCTTCCATCCAATCTCTTAAATGTGCACGGTTGAGGGAACTCTTCTCAATACATAAGGCAATACCAGTAGGCATACTAAAAACTTTTTGGACCAAGTTTTTTATTTGTTTAGTGATGTTTTGTTGGGGGTGGGGGTTACAGGAACAATATCCATTTCAATTAATATATTCAGTTTATATCATAACATGTACACATGGGCTGCACCTCAAAAGAAAAACAAAAGTAAGAAATACATACAGAGTTCAAGTAATCATAAATTCAGTATAAACAGGAAAATAAAACAAAAAATAAGTGGGCCTCCACCCCCAACCTCCCTTTCCCCCAAACCCACCCAGCCAACATGTCTCCACCCCCAACCTCCCTTTCCCCCAAACCCACCCAGCCAACATGTCTCCACCCCCAACCTCCCTTTCCCCCAACCCCACCCCACCCTGCCAACATGTCTCCACCCCAACCTCCCTTTCCCCCAACCCCACCCTGCCAACATGTCTCCACCCCCAACCTCCCTTTCCCCCAACCCCACCCTGCCAACATGTCTCCACCCCAACCTCCCTTTCCCCCAACCCCACCCTGCCAACATGTCTCCACCCCCAACCTCCTTTTCCCCCAACCCCACCCTGCCAACATGTCTCCACCCCCAACCTCCCTTTCCCCCAACCCCACCCTGCCAACATGTCTCCATCCAACCTCCCATCCCATTCCCCCAACCCCACCCAGCCAACATGTCTCCACCCCCAACCTCCCTTTCCCCCAACCCCACCCAGCCAACATGTCTCCACCCCCAACCTCCCTTTCCCCCAACCCCACCCAGCCAACATGTCTCCACCCCCAACCTCCCTTTCCCCCAACCCCACCCTGCCAACATGTCTCCATCCAACCTCCTATCACATTCCCCCAACCCCACCCAGCCAACATGTCTCCATCCAACCTCCAATCCCTTTCCCCCAACCAGCCAACATGTCTACATCCAGGCACACAGGCACACCTGTTAATTGAAATGCATTCCAGGTGACTACCTCATGAAGCTGGTTGAGAGAATGCCAAGAGTGTGCAAAGCTGTCATCAAGGCAAAGGGTGGCTACTTTGAAGAATCTCAAATAAAAAATAGATTTAGATTTGTTTAAAACTTTTTTGGTTACTACATGATTCCATGTGTTATTTCATAGTTTTGATGTCTTCACTATTATTCTACAATGTAGAAAATAGTTTTAAAAAATAAAGAAAAACCCTTGAATGAGTAGGTGTGTCCAAACCTTTGACTAGTACTGTATGTAATTGTTGTGTTATTTGTTCACTCAGGTTCCCTTTATCTAATATTATGTTTTGGTTGAAGATCTTCACTATTGGGTTCAACGCTCAGCTAGAGTTTCACGTTAATCATACATATTGCATTACGTCATGTGTGATTGGGTAGACGTAATTAATAAAAATGTCATATAATACTTTCCATTACAGTATAATTGCGCTTTTGTTCTATTCTTTGCATGCATCTCTTTTACATCTAATGATCATTGTCTTAATTATCTTTATATCCAACCATTGCGCCATGTGTCCCTTCTCCCTGGTGAGTAACTTATTTATTTTTTAGGGGGTTTTGATGCCAACTGCCCTAGCATAAGGTAACCTGTCGTCAGCATCTGGCTCCAAGGAACATTCCTCAGAGACGAGGCCTACCCCAAACTATTCAATAAAATTCCATATTGCATTTTGTCTCTGTCATTCAGATTTACATTTTTTTATACCTAAAGGTGCCAGTGATAGGGCAAATAAGAGACTGGACGCTGGACAGCCTTGACGAGTTCGCCGTTTGATGGCAAACTGTGAGGAGCACTGGTTACCCGTCAAGAAATACCATTAAAGAGGGGTTACTATACAGTGTTTTTAACATAGTCATAAACAAATCCCAAACGTTCCATAGTTTACCAGAGGTAGGACCATCCGAAACAGTCAAAGGCCATCTCCGCATCAATTGACAGGACTGCACAGGAGGATGGTATATCAGGTGTAATGTGTATTATATGTAGGAGACATCTAATTGTCTGACGCCAGTCGATATTTGACAAACCTGTTTGATCAGGATGAACTAGTTTTGGCTAGAACCTTGGCGTACAATTCCATGTCCCTATTGATGAGGGAGAGAGGCCTATGACTTGAACAGAGAGTCGGGTCTTTACCTTTTTTATGTAACAGATAGAAAACCAAGTCCCTCATGAAGAAACATAAGAACTCCTTCACCATTCTCCAGCATGTGACATTCAGGCTTTACAAAGACCCTAAAATGGTCATCAATCTACAGCTGATGTCTACATGCTCTTATGTTTTTGCTTTACAAACATAATTAAATGTATGGTCTAAATTCAGTGTAAAGGACTATAGGATACAGGGAGAGAGAATGTTCCCTCTTTGTCAGGGGGTTTGATGTGTATGTGTGGTCTGAGCACGTTTCCTCTCACCCGTTTCCTAATTCACTCTCTTCGATTCCTCACCTAATTTTCCTCTGATTTTTTCTCGTATCTCTTTATACTCCTCTGTGTTTATGTCCAGGTGCTTGTTTTCTTTTGCCCATGAGTTTAGCTTCTCATGCTGGTTCTGGTCAACGATGCCCATCTTCAGAAACTCACCGAACACATTCATGAACCCAGCTTTGTAGTAGCAGTTTGTCCCGTCTTCTGAAAAGTGTTGATATTTTCCCTTGGACGAGCGCTTTTTGATGCCTAGGCATAGGGTAAACATGTACAATAAACTGGTAAGTCCTCTGAACCAAAATACTCATCCAAATGTAAACAGTCACATGGAATTAAAGAGCACAGCAGTAAAGAATGGATGTTGAATAAGAGAGTGAATAGAGCAGTGGGGAATGGATGAAGCAGTGGGGAATACATGGAGCAATATGGAATAAACAGAGCAGTAGGGAATGGACAGCAGTAGACAAGCTGGTGATGTCGATACCTGCATCATCCCTAAGCTTCTGGGAGGACACAGGGTTGGCCATAATCATGGCCTGCTTCAGCATCTTCTCAGCATTCCCACTTACGAGTGTGTCAGCCAGCAGTGCCCTGGTGGGAAATGGGGACAAAGAGAGGGACCAGGGATGGGTGGGTAACATTCTATAAGACTTTAAGGTTAAAAGGTACATATTCTTATTCATACTCTTTCATAAATCTGTACTCCGAAACAGATTCACCTGCACCCCCAGTATAGATTTACATGCATTCAAACACATCTCACACCTGCTGACTCACCTGCACTGTTGGGCCTCAATGCAATTGCCAGTTGTCAAGGCAATGCGGTGATGCTGGTAGAGAACCTGCATGACAAGGTGGCCAATTCCCTTTTGGTCCGATTGAATGCTTTTTACTAGAGCATGAAGCTGTGGATTCTTTTTCTTGAGTTCTTTCAAGTCATCGTGTACTAGTGCCCTCTTTAATGTGTCCTTTGGTATGACGTGGTCAGCTTCCACAATGCCCATTCCAGACTTTAGGGTGTTTTTTATACTTTTGAGGAAAGGGAAAAAGACAGTGCATGAGACATATCAGCAGCCATATGTACAGTACCAAGCAGCTAAGAGTTCAAAACAGTCTTGAACATTGAAACATTAACTTTATTGATATTTTGAAGACATTTCCTGAGAGTGTAGAAATAATAATCTAGAACTCTAAATTCATTTTGATATGATTAGAGTACTCATAACTTTTACAATTGTATCCTGAGTGTCTCTAATTCACAATAATCTATGCAATAGGTATCCAAATGAAGATGAAACTACTTTACTCTGTGTATGTGGCAACATAACCAAGGTCGTAGAGCTCGGCAATGTCATATTCCGATATTTTAGTTGAATACTCAAATGTCTTCATAGGTGCGATGGCATCCCTGTGGTCCTGGCTGATAATCTTCTTTTCTGGCTTTCCCCCTCCCACTATGGAATATTTTCCAGGATCCATATGATTATCATAGCGCTTCTGGAGTATTACTAAATCAGCGTAGGTTTGGAGGTTTTTCTGAACCTGTTTGAGGAAATAACTGAAGTCAGTAAGCATAAATAGTGTCACAATATCAATTTCTCTACTCCCAGAGTTTGTGCTCCATGTACCTGGGCTGGACGATAAAAGGATCTCAATAATTACTGTGATAAAATGTGCCACTATAACGATGATAAACTTTTGATAAAATATCTTGTCTGGAAGCAGAACACATGGAAAGCCAGAGAGAAAGAGAACGCCCTGTGCTGAGAGCAGAAGGGGGAGGGGTTGTTCCTCGCTTACACACACACACACACACACACAGCGAGGGGAGATGCAATCTTTTCCCTGTTTGCCTATTTGTTGGTAACATGCCTGTTGTTTATTCATTCACTTTACATTATTGATAATAAAGTTGGTAAAGTGAAAAAAATAAAAATAAATACAGACAGCACCAGTCACCTACGTAAAAAATGGCTAGCTTTTCAGCTAACTTTTCCTTATTTGTAGTGAACATTGGCACCAGTTTGTCATCAGAACTGTCCGACGTTTTAACAAAACATTTTGAAAGTTGCCAGTTTTGCCTCTACTATTGATTAGAATCTGCTATAGCTCTAGTGCTGACTTTGATTGATCGGTTTGACCGAATCAGATTCTCAATCATTTGCTTGATTCTGTCTCTTAAATCGGTTTTGTGTCAGCACAATTGTTTTGGCTTTATTATTCATATAATCTAGGCCCATGCCTTTGAAAAGATGATTGGCTGTTTCAGAAATCTATTGTGTTTTCTGGCGTTATACAAAAACAATACTTTGATAAGCAACACTTTCCTTTATCACTAAGCCTTAATTATTATATTAGCTGTAAAGTTGTGTGTCACGACTTCCGCCGAGGCTGCCTCCCCTCAGGTTTCGGCGTACTAGCTACTGCCGATCCCATTCTCATCACTCCACTTGTCATGTCTTGTCTTGTCAATCACACACACCTGGTGCTCATTCCCCTAATTAGTATGTGTATAAGTGTTCCCTTGTCTTTGTGAGTGATTGTTTCATTGTGAGAGCGAGTAGCTCGGTTGAGCTAAGGTGGAATATTTTCCCTTGTGATAGTTTCGTTTTGACGTTTGGTGCGTTTTATTTATGTAGAGAGTTGGGCCAATGCGGTTTCTGCATTATGGTGCTTTTACATCATACTCCCTCCTCCCTCTCTGTGGACCACTTTGTCAACCACTTTGAAAAGAAGGTTAACAACATCTGCTCCTCATTCACTCAGCCTATTGAGTTCACTAGTCCCACTCACACAGAACTACCCTACGCCTTGACCTCTTTCTCCCCTCGCTCTCCAGATGACATCCTGCGACTGGTGATGTCCTGCCGCCTGACAACCTGCCCGCTCAACCCTGTCCTCTCCTCTCTTCTCCAGACCATCTCTCTCAGAACAATCTTCTTGACCCTAACCAGTCAGGCTTGAAGACTGGTCACTCAACCGAGACTGCTCTCCTCTGTGCCACGGAGGTCTCTCCTCACTGCCAAAACAGACTCTTTGTACTCTGTTCTCATTCTCCTAGATCTATCCGCTGCCTTCAACACTGTGAACCATCAGATCCTCCTCTCCACCCTCTCAGGGCTGGGTGTCTCAGGCTCTGCACACTCGTGGATTGCATCCTACCTGGCAGGCCGCTCCTAACAGGTGACGTGGAGAGGATCTGTGTCTACACCACGTGCTCTCACTACCTACAACCTATCTACAACCTAAAAGGGTTCTTCGGCTGTCCCCATAGGATAGCCCTTTTTGGTTCCAGGTAGAACCCTTTTTGGTTCCAGGTAGAACCCTTTTGAGTTCCATGTAGAACCCTCTGGCTACATGGACCCCAAAAGAGGGTTCTACATGGACCCCAAAAGAGTTCTACCTGGAACGAAAAAGGGGTTTCCTATGGGGCCAGCCGAAGAACCCTTTTTTCTAAGATTGTATTGGTGTCCCCCAGGGCTCAGTTCTAGGACCTCTCCTCTTCTCTCTATACACCAAGTCACTCGGCTCCGTCATATCCTCACATGGTCTCACCTATCATTGCCATGCAGATGACACTCAACAAATTCTCTCCTTCCCCCCTTCTGACACCCAGGTGGTGACACGCATCTCTGCGTGCCTGGCAGATATCTCAGCTTGTCGTCCCACCACCTCAAGCTCAACCTTGACAAGATGGAGCTGCTCTTTCTCCCGGGGAAGGCATGCCCGCTCCAAGACCTCTCCATCACGGTTGACAACTCCACAGTGTCCCCTTCCCAGAGTGTAAATAACCTTGGCTTGATCCTGGACAACACCCTGTTGTTCTCTGCAAACAACCGCTCCGGCAGGTTCATGCTCTACAACATCCGTAGAGTACGACCCTACCTCACACAGGAAGCGGCGCAGGTCCTAATCCAGGCACTTGTCATCTCCCGTCTGGACTACTGCAACTCGCTGTTGGCTGGGCTCCCCGCTTGTGCTATCAAACCCCTGCAACTTATGCAGAACACTGCAGCCTGCCTGGTGTTGAACCTTCCCAAGTTCTCCCATGCCACCCTGCTCCTCTGCACACTAACACTTGACCCCCCCCCCCCCCCCCCCCCCCCCCGAAAACCTTTACTTGCTATGACTGAGATATGTGCTTGCCCACTTAGCCATCTTAAGATAAATGCACTAACTGTAAGTCGCTCTGGATAAGAGCATCTGCTAAATGATTAAAATGTCAAAGTAAAATGTCTAGCATCTCAGCTGAAGAAAGCGCAATTGAGAACAAGGGAGGATTTGGGTTGGTATGTATGTCAAAATCACAACAGAGGGACCTACACAATGCAGTTTGACTGCTTTTCTAGTGTAATCCCCTCACAAGCAGCACAGGAGTAAATGGACAACATATAGTTATGTGAAGTTATGCAATCAATTCTTGAATAAAATATGAACTATAATAAAATATGATTAATTTGTAACTCAACATACTCCTGCAACAATGGGTTACAGCCTCCCATCACCTATCAGATAATCTACTATAGACATCCATATAGCTCTCTTAGAAAATACCTGACAGGTAGAGTTTTCACATGAAAGTTGGAATGTGAACTCCATGACTAACCTCGTTTTGTACTTTATTGCGCAGAATCCTTGCCTGTTCTTTGATGTCCTCTTCCTGGCCTCTGGATGTTGCCTGGATTAAGGCGTGGTACATGCAATTCTGGCCCTCTGACATCACCCTGGTCTCACATCCATCTGGTTGAATAATGGTAAAATGGCCTCTGTATGCAGTTTGAACACCTTGGATTCGGTCTTGTATGCGAGACAACAGACTCTTCTCACTAAAATAACAAATCAAACACATTCATGTTTGTTAAGTTCAAAGATCAAATTCAAACATAGAAATCTGAAGCATTACAGTTAGGATAAATATGCTCCTGATCTTATGTTGTGGCAATTTAGTGGTATTGAGCATCAATATTACTATTTTTGATATCCTTAAAGTTCAATAAGGGACGTGGCACAGGAACTCGGAGGCACGTACCTTTTAGCTGTCTCTGGCTCCATGGTCAGTTTGAGTGTGATGTATCCTGCTGAGCGGTCAGTGCCTGGGTAGGATTGCTCATCGAGTGGTTTCCCATGTTTATCCACTACCTTGACCCTGATGCCTTGGCCCTGGAGTAGGTCACTCTTTGTGAGGACAAAGATGTGCAGCTCTGAAGCAGGGCGGTCAATATCGCTGATGTTATTGATGTAATGATGGAGGTCCGACTGTTCAGTCTCACACATAGACTCCCCTGCATGCTTACTGGCTAATTTCATGTAATTCCTCTGTCTCTGCTCTAGGAAATAGTTTTCCGTTTTGTACCTGCCAAGCATATTGCTAGTGGTATCGCCAATGTCCTTTGTGAATTTAGTGATTTCTTTCTTTAAAATCTGTGTCATGAAGGAGTTTATGTGTCTGGCACAGCACTCTATAAATTCTTGGGAGAAACTCTCTGAGATGCCCTCCAGGAGCTCATTCTTCAGGCGTCCCACATCAAGGAGACTGTGTCTGTCATCCTGGTCATACCTCTTTGGCAGTTGCGCATCAATTTCTTTTATCAACTTGGGAGAACATTTGTCATTGATAAATGTTGCTGTAGGGATAGTCTTCAAAATTTGGACCAGCACTGTGAGGATCTTTGTTATGCTGAGACTTGCAGAGATTCCCATCTGGACTATGCCAGACACTCCTATTTTGTCCATAAGGTCTGATGCTTTGGCACTCACCTCAGATAGTCTGTCAATGACCTCGTGCACTGTGCTTAAATCTATCATCAGATCAGAAATAACACGTTCTGTCACTGATTTTACTAAATCTTTAATCATGTATTCACATCCACTGTCAATCTTGAACTCAGCAGAGGGTTTCTGTAAAGCCGATTTTGGAACTCCAGAACATACAAGCTCTGTGAGAGTGTGATTCAATGCATCATTCTTTTTTATTACAGAGGTGATTGAATCCTTGAAAGCCATGTTCAAACTCTTCTTCAGTACATCTTGAAGCACTGCATCACTGACGTAATGGAATGAGTGGGTAACTATCTGCTTAGCCATTTCTTGTCCTGCATACTTGGTTGCATGTTTGAAAGTCTGTTTGACTACAGTTTTTGTGCCCAGCTTCTTCACTGTACCTAGGGACAGAGGGGAGGCCGCTGTGACTGTGCCTTTGAAAGACATGAATGCATATTTCCCTGATTTAATGACACCTTCTGCAACAGATGAGAGGGTTTTTGTACCCGTTAGCAAGCCTTTTGTGGCTTTATATACAGACTTGACAGCTCTCTTGATGGTGCCAAATCCAGAAGTGAGCAAAGATATCCCAATACTGATGCTTTTGGAGATGGCCCACGATGCCCAACTGAAAACGCCAGTTCTCATGGCCTCACACCCGCTGATCATGTCAGACACACCCTCTGAGATCAACGAAAGACCAAAATGGGAGGCGGAGCCATAGGACAGAGCACAAACAAGAACTCCAGCCAGAACCTGACATGCACCCAGTAAAAAACACACAAGACCATCAATGTTGAACCTTGGCTTCTCTTTTACTTCGAACACCATGCCAAGGCCGTACTCATACAGGGCCATGAGTTCGTTTTTGGTGACATAGTCTGTCCCGTCTGAGAGTGCATACACTGAGGAATCCTCTGTTATGGTGCTACTTTTGCTGTTCTTTAGCTCTGCAAGTTTTTTCAGTGCACTGTTTATGTATCCCACCCAAGCTTGGAAAATATTCATCCTAGATTGCATCTGACTTTGGAAATTGCAGACACCATCATGATGTGGCTCAAAGTTGCCCCTCATTGCCATCTGACAAGCATTCAAAGTGTTAGTTGTTTCAGAGATATAGACACTCAGAGTGTCTTTTGCTTCCTGCAGTAATTCACTAGCCACTGCTTTATAGTCACTTTCTGCCAGGTTAATCGTGATGTAAGCTTGGTTGTAGAGTGCCACTGCTCTGTAAAAGGGGTCACATTTTGCAGCTTTCTGCCAGGAGGATTTTGCATCATAGTCCCACTTGGTTTTATCACGGCAGTGCAGGTTGGTTCTAACAACAGCCTGCTTAAGATGATCATAGAAATTTTGGCTTTGTCCTTTCAACATCATGTTGCTTGTGTTTGTCAATTGTTGAAGCAAGTCTGCTTCCAAGTCAGAGATATCATCATGCCTCTCGATATGGTTCTCATGAAGGGTCAGCCACAATGCCCAGGCTTCTTTCAGAGCATTGAGTGCTGGCTGGTAATCAAGCTTATTGCCTTGAAGTCTGAAACAATGTTCCTCCACCTTCATTGTCAACAGGTTTTCTTTCTCTTTTTCTGAGTAGTTGCTGTCAAAATTGTCAAGAAATTTGCAAACTGTGGAAAATAGTTTTTCCTTACTGTCAATTTCCTGCAGCTCATTTGTTTCCATACCAGTGATGCGTTGGATTTCATGATCCTCTCTTAGCTGCCTCATGATCTCCACAGGCTGACCCTGGTACGCTGGTGCCAGTTGGTCACAGTGGAGTATCATTTGCACCATGCCGGAATTTCCTTTTCTGGCTGTGCGTCCAAACAGCTGTTTCTCCACTCGGCGATTGTCAGGAAAGTGCGTGAGAAGGACAAAAAGTCCACCGCATTGATTCACTTTCTGCTCCAATTTAATGTCTGTTCCACGTCCTCCTAGATTGGTGGCGATAATGATGTTTCCCCCACTGAATGTGGTTTGCTCAATGTTGTCTCTCTCACTGATCGTGTACATGGTGATTGGATGTCGGGGATTTGCTCTTCGGTTGGCCATTGCCACCTGTAATTCATTTGCTGTCTTTACATCCTCACAAACCACCAAGACGACCTGGTCCCTGTCGGCAGCTTTCCATGCACTTTCACAGACTACCTGTATCCATTTTAAGTCATCACCGCTCACCTGAAGAGCGGGAAGTTCGACTACCTTATTGTGCCTGTGAGCCGGTATTGTATAGCTGTCTGTTTTGTAATGCCTTTTCAAGAAGTGTTTGTCTGCATTTCCACCTAATGTTCCAGAAACACCAAATATGCCACTCCCAGTAAGGTATCTTTTAAAGTAATGGATATTTGACATATAATTTGTAACATTGGATAGCGACGATATGGCCAACTGGTGCTTCATCTCTAGAAACTGTTGAAGGCCGTCACCCCAGCGTTTGTTCTTTTCCAGTACTCCACTGGCCTGGTAGTCCACTGGGATGATGGCATGGTAGAAATGTTTGTCAGACTCACTGACAGTGCTTGGATTAGCTTCAGAAGACATGCCAATCATGTACTCTCTGCCTTGTTTCATTGCAATGGCTTTTAAGGCATTTCCCACAAAGACTGGCATCCGATTCTCAATGTATTTCTTAAGGAAGAAGGGGATCACAATAGACTTTGTGGTTTCTTCTGAGTTTGGCTGACATTGGTCCGAATATATGATTTTAGATTGTATCTCAAGAACAACTGCATCAATTAGTGATTTTTCAGACATGATTTCACTAGCTCGTCCATTGTTGAGGAGAAGCATTTTGATTTTCATGTCACCGTCCCTCTTTTTCTCTCCAATTGATGTGGCTGTATTATTTGTTAATGTGTAACAGTCGATGAAAACACTTTGATCTAATGCTTTCTCAAGAATACTGAGAATATCATATTGTTGTTCCACTCCAATTTTAGTCATGAACACCTCAATAGCTTTCCAATTCTCATCTTGAAAATCATCAGCATTACCATCTCTTTGTGCCTCACTTTCACTCTGCATCAATGTATCAATGTCTTCCTTTGTGTAAAATCCAAACTGCAACCCTGTGCGCAGAATATCAATTTCAGAGAAGTATTCAGATTTGTCTGAGCCCATAACAGCCATCTTTGCAGCCTTGTGAAAATGCTGTATCCCAGTTATCCACTCAATCTCCCCCGTTTCTTTCATTTCAATAGGCCGACACACAGATATCATGCACCAAATGCTAGCAAGGACTTGCTCAACGTGCCTAAGGCCACTGGCTTCATGAGACAGGAAGGTCACCTGCACTCCACTGTCCAAGGTCATGTAATCTACTTCATCCACAATCACTAAGTCAAACTTCCTCTCCCCACGAGTGGTGTTTTTCTCAAATTCCTGCCTCAAAGTGTCTGCTGCAAAGTCACTTACGGTTCCATACACAATTTGTTTTTTGTAAGCGTCCTGTAGCATTTTGTCACAGCTTTTAGGGCTGCTCTTCTTCATCAACGGTGGTGGAGGCACAACAGAGGATGTGATATCAAACATGTCATAAAGTTTTCTCCACTCCTCTTGGTCCCGTCGTGCAAGGACTGGAGAACTGGTCACAATGTCGACTGTGGCCCCTCTGATGGCCTGGATTGCTGCAAACATAGCTAGAATGCAAGACTTTCCTTCTCCTGTGCCAATTTCTAAGAGGCATCCTTTATCTGATGTTGTCTTTGGTAGAAGTAGCATGAGTAATGATGCCAGCTGGGTGAGTCTTGGAAAATATCCCTCTATTTCCTCTCCACTTTGAGTGGTAATGGTTGAGCAGTCTTTAACAGCAAAACACATTTTAATAAGAACTTCCTTGAGGATAGTGTTGTCGGCCTCATCAAAATGCAACAATTTAATTTTTTTCTTAACATCTTTGACCATTTCAATTTTTTCTCTCTTGCTCAGGTTCTTCTTAGGGTCTTCCATGGCATCTTTTGAAAGCTTCTCTGCTATATGTCCTAAGATATTCTCCATTATAGAGAGGACCTTTTCGGGGTAATTTGCATCATGCATTTCACTCAAAATGGTGTCAATATCTTTGTCAGTTTCTTCTTCTGCATACCCCTGTAGAGTCTTATTGGGATCATTATTTCTGACGGCAGAGAGAGTGGAGAGAAGACCCAGCCTGTAGGTCTGCACTGTATGAAGGATTGAATCAGTTTTATTCTGGTCCATGGAAGCAACCCCACGAAGAAAGAGCAGGATCTCTACAGGTGTCCAGATGTTACTGAAGAGAATTTGACTAAGGAGCTCCCTGCTGGTCTGAGACACATCTGTAAATGTGTCAAAAAAAGCCAAAAGAAGTTTACCTGCCAGAGTGGAATTTGAACCGTTCAGATGCTCAAGAAGACGGAGGTGGAAGTTATACCTCTTGGCCCACTCAAGTTGGTGGACATCCCCACTGACGGCATCCGGGTTGCCTGCCAGTGTTACCTCTGTCACAGCCTTAAGGATACTGAACCTCTCAGTTAGAGAGAGATCTCCATACTTGATGGCATTCTCCAAGGTAAAAAGAGGCCAAATGGAGAGGTGCTTCTCTCTAAAGTATTGGACTGTCAGCTCAGTCTGGAGGTTTCTCATCCGGTCTTCAAATGTGACATCTTGCAGGCTTTCATTTTCACTGATCTGGTAATCCAATAAGAGTTCCTCAAACTTCTGTTGAATTTCCCTCCGCTAGAATTTAAGGTTTAAAATGGTATACTTCAACAATGTAGGTAACACATAATGGAAACACTTAATGTATGAAATGTAGTATATAAATACATATGGTAACACTTTACAATACGGGTGCATTAATTAAAATAAACGCATGCCATAGTTAACACAAGGCAACAGTAAACATGTCATCCCCCACGAATGATGCAGTTACAATTATTCAAATGTAGGTTGTCTGGATTAAGGAAATAAATGTATGTTGCGTAGATTAATTTCCCTCACTGGAAATCATAACTTAATAGCTCACAATGGACGGGATGTAAGAGAACGGACTCTACAGCTTGATAGAGAGATACATTGATATAAAACAGGATTTAATTTTAATGGGCAGACGATGGACAGTTATACTGATAGTAGTCAGGCTAGACTATACTGATACTAACATAATGGCCAATGACTGAAATATAGAGTACCACAGTATGAGTCATTATACCCATAAAACCTAGATGTCAAACAGCGTTTTTTTCCATAGGGGATTTTAGAAACATTTAAAATAAGGGCTGTGTTTCGTGTAGGCTTACCCAGGGGTGACATTTTGATAACCGTGTATATCTTTCTAGGACAAGGGTCCTTATATCAATATATTCATCTATATTCAACCCCCCAAAATGAAATGATAATTAACTGCTAATGTGGCTATCATAAAGAACTACAAATGCCATGATGATCTGGACTAGACTGCCGAATCGAGGCAAAGGTAAGAATCTCTGGATTAACTATCTAATGTTAGCTAAATGTAGTAATGAATAAATTGGCTACATTTCTTTAAATGGACAATTCTGGGAACTGTCTTGTGCCAGTTTTAAATTGACACAATACCAGTTAGCAAAGGAGTCAGCTAGAGATGACATGCAGGAGCTTGCAGGGATTTGTAGTTTTGCATGATGTCTACTTTGATGCTAATTAGCATTTTCAAATCTGAGAGTAAATAGAGCTGAATATATTGATAAAAGTCACCTTGTCCGAGAGAGATTTACATGGTTATCGAAACGTCACGCCAGGGTAAGCCTACACGAAACACAGCCCTTATTTTAAGTATTTCTAAAATCCCCTATGGGAAAAATGAATGGTGGAAAAACGATTGGAACCTTTTCCTTGTTTGACCACTAGGCTTTATGGGTATAATGACACCTCCAATGTTGGGCTCTATTGACATCGATCCACTGTTTTGAGTGGGTGGAGCTTATAGATCATTATGAGAAACTTGTTCCTCATGGGGAAATGCATTTACTGTATGTACAAAATGTCATGACTGTAGCTCAAAAGGGAGATATGCTTGTTCAAAGTTTGGTAAGGGACACAAAGTCTAATTTGCGGAAAATATAATGGGCTTATGGAAAACTTATTGCTCATGCTCATACAGTACATGTACCAAATGTCACGACTGTAACTGAAACGGAAAAGGAACTTTGGTTGTTCAAAGTTTGGTATTTCAGTGGTTTACTATAGCGGCCCCCTTGGGCCAATCTGTGCAATTTTGTAAATGCTAGATCTCTATGGCAAGAAACATCATTAACCCAAGTTTAGTCAAAATCGGGCCAGTGGTGTCTGAGATATCGTGTGAGACTAACGCACCTACATACGAACAGACAGAGACAGATCCATAGTCCTCCCCCCATTGTTATTGTTCCTATAACTCTGACTCAGCAAAAGACTGACTGCCAAATATTGCACCTCTCCCATTCAGAGAGAACCGCACAACTTGAGACCATGAAACATTTTTACATTTTGAGACATAATCCAATGGGAGTTTTGAATACTGCAGCTAGTAATTGTGTGGCATACAATACATTTTCACACATTTTACTGGTTTTGAAAATCACTGTTTTCTCAAAAACATTGTTAAAGACAAGCTACAATAAAAAGTAAGAGTAGTTGGGTATTTTTTGTAGTTTGACAGTTTGACATACAGACAGGGGGGAGAGAAAGGTCAGAAAGTGGCAAGGGTAGGATTTGATCCCATCCCGCTGTGGGCAATACTGAAGGTGGGGTGCAAGTCCACTCCCTTTTAGAAAAACATTTTGTATGAATGATAGAACATTTATTTTCTTCCGCGATATGCAATCTTTTACAAATCCTTATTAGCTTGGGAGGAGGGCGTGTAGCCTAGTGACAAAGGTTGATCAGCGTTTTGCGGTTCTTGCACTGAATCAGAGTTTAAGGGACAATAACACACTCCAATATTTTGCTGTTTTTCCCTTCTAATGTATTCACAAAACAGATGGCAGTCACATTTTACATTAAGTCTCCCCATACCTGTGTAGTAACTGCTTACGTGTCTTTTTGTCAAGCAAAACTTTTTGTGGAAGGTACTACACTGCGTACAGATGTCCCCACGTACTCAACGTCATCGACATACATCGAGTTTCCTTGTAGGCCTACATGGCTGGAAAACTGTGAAGCCAGCTGTATGGCCTATTGCCTGTTTCTGTTTCAGTCTTTCATAAAAGAATGTGAAACAATGTGTCTATTTGCTGCTTTTTATAAAATAAATGAGTTAATATGGGCAGAATATTATATGTTTTATCATAGGCTACCGAATGTATCAAAATAAACAGTTAATGCGAAAATATTTGGATCTGGTGACAGGCCGATATTTTGGTGGTTTCAATCATTTAAAAAAAGACAGTCACATCACAATTGTGATTTTAGAGACATGACGTAACAATAGCCTCTATGATGAAAGGGATCGTGGTACATCTGTTACTGGGCTCTAACCATTATCATTAGCATTATTTACATCATTCAAATTCACCAAATCATTTAGTTTAGAAGCCCACTAGGGTACTCATTTGTTGTCATTAAATGTCCTGAATAACAGAAAGGAAATACCTTGGGTGTTTGTGCAATAGCCTAGGCTATCCTACACAATTGAGCACAGTAGCCTAGACTCAGTGTCCAATCCGACGCACAGAAACATATGAAAACATTAACTCATTACCTTTATACTTTCCCTGTTAAATCTTCTAGACCCCATAATGACAAAATTAAATCTTGTTATTTGAATTTTGGCAAGTTTATTGAAAATAAATGACAGAAATATTTAATTTACGTAAGTATTCACACCCCTGAGTCAATATTTTGTAGAAGCGCCTTTGGCAGCGATTACAGCTGTGAGTCTTTCTGGATAAGTCTCTAAGAGCTTTCCACACCTGGATTGTACAATATTTGCCCATTATTCTTTTCAAAATTCTTCAAGCTCTGTCAAATTGGTTGTTGATCATTGCTAGACAACCATTTGCAGGTCTTGCCAAGGATTTGAAAGTAGATTTCAGTCAAAACTGTAACTCGGCCACTCAGGAACATTCACTGTCTTCTTGGTAAGTGTAGATTTGGCCTTGTGTTTTAGGTTATTGTCCTGCTGAAAGGTGAATTCATCTCCCAGTGTCTGGTGGGAAAGCAGACTGAACCAGGTTTTCCTCTAGGATTTTGCCTGTGCTTAGCTCCATTCCGTTTCTTTTTATCCTATAAAACTCCCCAGTCCTTAACGATTACAAGCATACCTATAACATGATGCAGCCACCACTATTCTTTAAATATGGAGAGTGCTACACAGTAATGTGTTGTGTTCGATTTGCCCCAAACATAACACTTTGTATTTAGGACAAAAAGTTAATTGCTTTGCCACATTTTTTGCAGGATCATTTTAGTGCCTTGTTGCAAACAAGATGCATGTTTTGGAATGTTTTTATTCTGTACAGGCTTCCTTCTTTTCACTCTGTCAATTAGGTTAGTATTGTGGAGTAACTACAATGTTATTGATCCATCCTCAGTTTTCTCCTATCATAGCCATTAAACTCTGTAACTGTTTTAAAGTCACCATTGGCCTCATGGTGAGCGGTTTCCTTCCTCTCCGGCAATGAGTTAGGAAGGATGCCTGTATCTTTGTAGTGACTGGGTGTATTGATACACCATCCAAAGTGTAATTAATAACTTCACCATGCTCAAAGGGATATTCAATGTCAGATTTTTTCCTTCTTTGCGATGCATTGGAAAACCTCTCTGGTCTTTGTGGTTGAATCTGTGTTTGAAATTCACTGCTCGACTGAGGGGACCTTACAGATAATTGTATGTGTGGGGTAAAAAGATGAGGTAGTCGTTCAAAAATCATGTTAAACACTATTATTGCACACAGAGTGAGTCCATGCAACTTATTATGTAACTTGTTACGCAAATGTTTACTCCTGAAAGTATTTATGTTTGCCATAACAAAGGGTTGAATACTTTTTGACTCCAGACATTTCAGCTTTTCATTTTTAATTTGTAAAGCTTTTGAAAAACATAATTCCACTTTGACATTATGGGGTATTGTGTGTATGCCAGTTACAAAACAATCTAAATGTAATCCATTTTAAATTCAGGCTGTACACAACAAAATGTTGAAAAAGTCAAGGTGTGTGAATACTTTCTGAAGTCACTGTAAATGAAGGGGTATTGGATTGGATCGCAACGAACAGACATCAAAATATTCCGGACACAGTTTTCCCACACTGGCTGTTTTTGTATCACCTGCTATAAGCTTATCAGAACAGCAAAACTATTTCCTGGATCAGCTGATGGTCGACAATATCACTCAGCCTAACTAAACAGCTGGATATCAAATGCCCATCCAACAAGTAGGTCTATTAAGGACGCAAGTCAGGTTACTCTTTCGGTTAGACTCATTGGATTTTGCAATGGCATAGGCCTACATCATTATGGATTTGTGTGCCCATGAAAACTGTTTTCACAGCGTAGCCTAAAATATCAATATAAACATTTGATAAAGCGGTGCTGCCGTTAATAGCACACCATCTCATAGACTCAGCAAGACTTTAGTCCCGCTGATGGCCCATAAGGGGTCGATGGGTGAGGTTGTGTCTCTCTCTGGCGGGAGGTAAGCTTGGCTTATATGGTGCTGATATGGTGTCGAGTAAAGCTTAAACCATGTATTTAGATTGTAGTTAGGTATTGTAGGT